TTAGTGTTCTTAAATTAACTACATTGGTTACTAATTAGATATTTTAAGTATCTTAAGTGAGATGAAATTGCCTTTGGTGGTGAAGGGTGGAGAGAGCAAATAAAATAAGAAGGAGAAATATGAGCAACAGTGAGAGTAGTAATGTTCTTTATGAATTGGATAAGTATGATGCTTAGATAATTTCTTAATAAATTTGTGATGAAATGCATAGATGAAATTTTGACCTATTTAAAGGAGTCCATAATAATTTGAACAATATGTACATGCAAGATTCTTGAAATATGAATTATGGTATGTCAAGTAATCTTTTATGTTATGTTATGCCTAAAGATGGAATTTAAGCATATTAAGGTAGAAGGAGTCCATAACTGATAATTACTATGCATATTGGAATGAAAGATTATTGGGTTTTAATTAGATGTTGTCATTGTCTTTATAGGAATTTTTTGGACTAGCTATGCCATTGGCTAAGTTTATCCAAAAGGAGTGTTTTGATTTGTAGGCAAATCGTTTCTTCTCTAATTTTGGAGGTTATAGGTGCAGATGCATGTTTAATATTTGCATTTACTTAAAGATAAAGGTAAGAATATATCTAAATTCGAAGGACTGAATTTTTTAAAGAGGAGAATGTAATAACCCTGAAATCTAAATTAAAAATTAAAATTTATTTTAAATATTTTGATTTTATTATTAAATATTTTTACTTCATTGTTATTAATTTTTGGAGAAAATATATTAAAAGGAATTTTAGTCTAATGAAAGTTATGTTAGTTGCTCACCTACAGATCCTAAATTTTAGTGGGGCATTATTTTATACCTCCAGCCTTCTAAATTACCATTTTGCCCACCACAGATTTTTTTTCCCTTTTCTTGTTCACATTCTAACATATACCAGAGGAGAGAGGAAGAAAAATCGAGAACTCTCAGCTGCTGCTCTTCTCCGATTCCAGTGCTTTTCTCCAGTTCTAGCGTGTTCACTGGCGTCCTCTATCATTCCTCCTCCCTAGTCAGCTCTCCATCGGCAGGTGCGTGAGCTTCGTCTGTGCTACTGTGTGGTTGCTCCAAAATCTTCCTCCTCTTTCGTTCTCTGCTCTACCTCCCTTATTGTAGATGGTATATTGTCGGTGGATGCGTGAGGAACTAAATCCACTGCAGTTGGAGGGTTGTTTTGTGAGCTATTCTTCTTTCCTCTTTAGTGTCGCCGACTTCATTTACCTTCATTTTTTGTGTGGCTGAATCTTCTTCTCTTTCCTATTCTATTCAGATTGATCTAAAGCTAGGGAGCTTTGAATTCTTTTCTTCATTCCTTTGCTGCCATTATGATGAGTCAAAAAAAAAAAACAAAAGAAAAAGTTTCCATCTCCCTTCCTCAGTTCTTTATGTGTGTGAGTTTGTAATGGAAGTTGCTTTCTTCTCCTTTATTATTGCTGGCCCTGATCATATATGTTTGGATATAAAGGAAAAGCTTGATTTAAGTTGAAACTCAGAGTAACAAAAGAAGATGTTGATGGTATCGTTCGAGTTTTAGTTGAATTTGATTTGATTATTGAAGCTAATAAATTTTTGGAAAGTGAAATTGATGAGGGAGATATGGGTATTAGTTTAAAGATTCATGCCCACAAGATATTAATGAAATGCATGTTAGAAGAGTTTACTTAATTTTGGTACTTCTCTAAAATTTCATTAATTATTGCAAGAAGCATTGTTTGTGTGGGTGTTATTAATCTATAAACTTATCTTGAAGGTTGCAAAGGAAATTTGATTGTGAAATTAGCTTGTAGTTATGTGAATTCTTGAAAATGAACAGTTGTCAATAAATAATGTAATAAACGGTTTAAATGTTAAGAGATTCTTTTGAGTAGATTGAAAAATTAGTTATGTCTATGAAGGAACTTTTGTGCAAATCTTGGTTCCAAAGTTTTAAATTTATAGTCATTATATAAATATATATATATATATATATAAAGAGAGAGAGAGGGAGGGAGGGAGAGGGAGAGAGTATGTGTTATTGTTGGAAGAGTTTTTTTTAGCATTGTTAGAAGTTTATTAAGGCCCTAATATATTTTATAGGAAGTTGGAAGGAAGGAGAGGAAATCGATTAATGTTGTAAGAGAAGGACCTTATACTTGGAAAAAATTTTAGATAAGTGGATAGCGTCCCAATTAATTTTCAAATAAAATTTCCTTTATTAAAATATTACAGTTTCATGCAAATCATTTTATAACAACAATGTGAGTATTGGATAATTTGTTGATTAAACTTCTTTATTTTATGAAATTACCTTTATCACTTTTGAAATGTTAATTATTCAATAAATATAAGTTTGGACTTTAATTATGGGATTTCATTTTGAAAATTATTGAATTGCTATGGAAAAACGATTCATGCGAGTTTGACATTGAAGAATGAAATTTTATTTTGAAAGAGATGATTTTCTCACATGTTTGAAAATGAACTTGAAAGAGACTTTATACAGAACACTAGTTGCTAATGACAGTTTCGTTAGCCTTTGGTGTGCCATGGTAAACGACTAGCTAGTTTGATTTTCATGAGCACTATTCTCATGTTTGTTATTTGTGGGTCTCATACTCACGTTTGTTTTGTGGCTCTGGTCGCATTTGATTAGTATTACCCTAGTAGACTGTGTGTCCACATTTGTTTCATAGCTCAAGCTGCGTTTGGTTAATTACCCTCGTGGACTATGTGTCCACGTTTGTCTTTGTGGCATAAGCCGCGTTTGGTTAGTATTACCCTCGTGGACTTTGTGTCCACGTTTGTTACCTGTTCTATTAAGTCCTTAAAATTCTGAAGTTTTAATCAACTTGTGTATTTGAAATTTCAATGGTTTTAGTTTTAATCAATTTATGTATTTGAAATTTCAATGGTTTCAGTTAGTAAGGATATCAATTTGATTTATATATGGATAATTTGTTTCTTTCAAGCATGATAGAACAAAGCCATTTCAATACACTCTCATTTTATGATTATGATTAAGATTTACATATTTATTAAGTTTATTATATTGAATTATCTTTTTTATTTATTTATTTTACATAATTGTTTGAGTTTATTATTTTTACTCTTTTAAATTCTATTTTTGGGATGCCATTCACTGAAAAATATTTTGGTTTCAGATTTATTAGTTGATACTAAACTTCTTGCTGATTACTAAGGAGTTAATCACTGATTGGGAAGTAGAAGAGTTGTAGACTAAGCTACTTTTTGATGTAAATTTGAATTATAAAATTGTATTTTTTTTAATTAACTTCTAGGTACTCTACATAGGTTATAATTAGGGTTTTTATTTTGTTATATATTAATATTTTATTTGAAATATTGTATTGTAGAATTTCAAGAGGTTCTATTTTGCTAAAATTTCAGCAAAAATATTGAAGCTTTCGTTATATTGTAAATTTAATTATGTTTTAGAAATAGAAAAATTTCCTAACTTAAGGCTTAAGGAATATGTGTTTGTGCATATATCTCGTGCTAGTCACATCTAATTTTTAGGGTGTAACAAGAAGTTAACCATTTTCCCATTGATATTGACAAAAAATATTTCTAGATGAAATTCTATGGAGGTTAATTGATCATTGTATGAATATCATGTGAGAAAATATCATTTTGACTGAACATCAAATAAAATCACTTGTTTCTTTTCAACAGTGCCGAAAACCATTTAAAAATTTTGAATCTATCATAAATGAAATTGCTTAAGGTTGTGACAATGTTTTTAAGGTTGGGTGGCATAGGAGGCGTGCTCAGTCTCAAGCTTCGATTTTGTACAACCTATCTCACTATGTTGAATATCAGGTTTTGCAAACAAGAAAAATGAGTAAAGAGGGAGGAAGGAGGGGGGCAAGATACATGGTGATGGAAAGAAATCATGTGGCATGAATTTTGACAAATTGTTCACTAATTATAGATACTCATTAAATAATCAATTAACATCCGTAAAAATTTATTTGGGAATTTTTTTGTCTACATCAAGAAAAAATAGTCAACTTCTGCTTAGATGTAGCTAAATAGTCAATATTTAAGGGATTTGATGAATGCACCAACTTTGGTAACATTATGAGCATTTTTGCTCCTGGCCAACGATTTCATGGGTATTTTTGCCTCTTTATTAGTCCATGTCAACAAAGGCTGACACGTGACATGCACAGTCAGTGTTTAACGGTCAAAGTTAATGGCATTAAGTTAAAGTTAACGGTCTAATCACTTTTGCACCCACCCATATAATGTTATTAGTATTTTTACATTTTTTTCTCACTTTAGGATACTATATGCCCCTGGTTGACCACTCTATGGGTATATTTGCCCTTTTACCTGAAAAAAAATATATATATATATATATACACACACATATACTTGTCTGATGTCCAGCAGTCTTCTTATTTATTTATTTATTTATTTATTTTTTGGCCGAAGGTTTTTTATTTAATTTGGATACACTTTCGCCGAAAGTCTATCCTTATTTTGTTCCTTTATCCTCCCTCAAAAGTCAAAAGTCACGCCTATCTCCCTCATTCATAAGAAAATTAAAAGGCTATTTTATAAGAACGTTCGACATCCTAGTCCAACGCGAAAGTATTTCTTTGTCGTAAAAACGATACCATCATTCTGGCCCAAAAAAAAAAAAAAAAATTTGATACCATCATCACATGATTACAGAAAATTTCGCATAAATTCTCAATTTCTGAGGATTACTCAATACTCTAATTTCTCTATCTACCTTTAAGTTTCCACTTTCCACACTGCAGCGTAGCATTGATTTATGTTGTTTCATGCATATAAAGGCTCCTCTTCAGCCAAAAAGATCAAGTTGAACTCGGGTAATAACCAATCACTGGCTTAAACCTCTTGATTTACATTTCATTTTGAGTGCTACTCACACTGAAAATTTGTTTCGCTTACATGGAGAATCATGGGGAGACAAATGATTCAGATCACTGGAAGGCGCGGTGCAGCGAGTGGGTGCGTGGACTGATGGATGCAAAGTCTAGTATCAGTCGATGACAATCCATTACACGGCGACGAGAAATAGATTATCAGCAATCAGTTGTACGAGGAAGTTCGTGACGAGAACGAAGATGTAGATGGATTTGTTCGTGTACTGGAGGAAGTATGCCACCAAAGAAGACTTGAATTGTCCACTATTTTCAACCAAGTCACTTCTACAGGTGACTTGTTGCTTCATGTTGCAGCTAAGTTTGGGAAGGTGGAGGTTATAGAATATATAAATCGCTAATCGTTGTCCTATTGATCTTTGGCATAAGAGGAACATGAACGGTGATGCTCTTCTTCATGTTGCTGCTAAAGCTAGCAATATTGAAGCAATCAAGGTCATTCTCTTCATAGATGAACACATCATTAAACCGCGGCTGGGACAGGAAGCAAACTTTATAATGTCACGGAATAGTTATGGGAACACACGGCTTTGCATGAAGCTGTTTTGTCCAAACATGATGGTGTCAGATTTCTTTTGAAGGCGCAGAGTGAGTGTGATGATCTGGCCAGCTATTGGACTTGGGGCAAGAAACACAGCCGCAAATCACCAAAGTATTTGGCAGTCGAGATGGGAAATGTGGAAATTATTGATCTTCTCTTGAAAATTCCATTCCCCCTGATCTTGACATTTCAAAGGGAGACTCCTCTTCTTGCCGCCATATCAGACAGAAATCTGGGTCAGTATATAAATAATAGACATTTTTTTTTCCTTTTGCGTTCATCTCTTACTTTCACCTAATAAATGTATTCTCAATTTTACATGTAGATGTGTTGCAAGAGATAGTGAATATAGGAGAAGAGCTATTGTATCAAGGAGATGAAACCAAAAACACTCCCCTTCATTATGCAGCATACAGAGGTTATGTGGAAGTTGTGGATAGAATGTTAGAAAAGTCTACCTTGATTGCTTTTCAACGAAACTCAGATGGCAATCTTCCAATTCAACTTGCAAGCATAATGGGCAGTATTAATGTGGTCAAAAAATTGCTTGACAAGGCCTTTGATTCTGGAGCTTGTCTAAATGGTAAAGGACAAAATATTCTCCACATCGCAGCAATGAATGGACGAAACAAGATGATAGAATGCCTGTTGAGAAGGCTTCATTGGAAAGCTGTAAATGAGAAAGACGTAAAAGGAAATACACCACTGCATTTGGCTTCAAAGAAACTCCAACTTTTGATTCTACGCAATTTACTTCTAGACCAACACATCGATGTGAACCTAGTGAATAATCAAGGTTCAACATCTCGAGATTGTCAGAGCATGTACTCAAGCCCAATTTACCAAGGCTAAGTCACAGCCCACTAAATCTGATGTTGTTACATAGTTCAAGCTCATTATTACTATATATTATTTTAGGGCTTATGTGTCTTGTCTCTTATCTTTCGTGCTTATCCTTTATCACACATGTAACACGCCACACTCCCTCTTGCATCTATAAATATAACACTGTACAAAACAATTTAGATATGCAATGAATTCTGTTTATTAACATTCAATATTCTGGCTTTATACCTCTTTATGGCATCAAAGCCACAATCTCCTTCTCATCATGTCCACCTCATCATCGAGCTCTTCTCATACTTCCTCTTCTACTATTGAATCTTCAACTCTTACATCTCTTTCATCTTCTCCATCTCATTTCATTTCAAGAAAACTTAACAATAATAATTATACTATCTAGAAAGCCCAAATGATTCCATATTTACATGGACAATAACGTTATTTTATTCTTGATGGTTCTTATGTTAAACCTGCAATGTATTTATTTGATGGATCTAAAAGCCTAGAATATTTGAAATAGTTTTGGCAAGATCAATTAGTGCTCTCTGTATTAATATCTTCTCTCTCTGAACCTTTGATTGGCCAGGTAATAAAACACAAGATAGCTATATCTATGTGGCTTGCTCTTGAGCGATTATTCACCTAGAAATCTCAGGCCAAATTTTTTGCATCTACATAATCAGATTACTAATTTAAAAAGGGCTCTAACTCTATTTCTGATTATTAGGAAAAGGTAGTGATGATTTCTAAAGCTTTAAGCATTGTTAAGAAGCCTATTGATGATGTCGATTTTATTATCTATTTACTAAGTGGCCTTGGTTCAGATTATGAATCTATAGTTGCTTCCGTCACTACTAAATCTGGCAAATTATCTCCTAAAGAAGTTCTTAGCTATTTATTGATTCATGAAGCCAGACTTACGAATCATTAATCTGCCACTTCATCAGATGTTTTAGCTAATCTCACCACTAAACCTACTTCATTTTTATCTGATGAAACTCAACATGTTCCAAGAGGCCAATTTCCTTTTAGAAGTAGAGGATGTTATGGACGTTTTAGTTACAGAGGTGGGAGAGGTCGTTTTTGCTGAGGTCGTGGTTTACTTTGGAGGTGGTCGTGGCATTCTTGGACCTATACCTAGTCAATTTGGTTATAATCATCCTTGCTAACTTTGTGACAGATATCGTCACACTACACATACATGCTACCGTCGTTACAATTACTCCAACAGAGATGTTGTACATGTTCAGTGGGAGAGTCCATTTGCTTGGACATGTGAGGTACGAATGATCAGTACCAATAAATTGTTACGTCTTCCTTTTTATGATGATTTTTTTTTTTGTTTGAGATGGCCAAACAGATTTTAAAACGGGCCGGTGTCCCATTGAAGGCAAAATTGTTGGGTGTACGACCCGTAGTATCCAAAGATAAAGAAAGGAAGATGAAGGAAGCAGTCAACACGCTCATGCTTGTGGCCATATTAATTGCCACAGTGACATTTACAGCTGGTTTTACTTTACCAGGTGGGGTAAAGAGTTCGGAATACCCAAACCCAAAAGAGGCACTATAGTTTTGACCCATAAAGGGCTATTCATAGCATTCATGATTTTCAACACAATTGCCATGGATAGCTCCACTCTTGGTTCTATTCTTCTTCTTTGAGTCCCATTAACTAATCATCATTACGCAGAAGTAGCATATATGGGTGCTCAGTCATCTGTTTATGTGGCTCTTTCTAACCATGCCTGCGTCATTTCTAGCTGCTATTCTTTTGGTGGTGAGCACAAACGTTGTGCTTACAGGACTTATAATAGCCATTGCATCCATCTTCATCTACTCCATCTACTCTTTTTCTTCCATCACCCGATTCTTACTAGTTTACATCCTTCATTGCACATATTATCTAAAAAATTGGCAACGTCTTGCGACGCTGATTATGTGTACTTTCGGAAACCATGATGACGATGCTATTTTCATTGACGATCAAGTCAGCAGACTAAACGAAGAAGTGGATGAAGATGGTATGAGAAATCAAATAAAGGAAACTCACAAAGTCAATGGAAATGATGCAATCAGAAGCCATTTGTGAGGTTAATTAATATTAATTTTAGAAGCTGTGACTCACCGCCGTTTTGTTGTCTTTCACCATCACTTCATTTGCCTATCCCTGATCCATGTGTCTCTCTATACGTAAGACACATAAAAGGGATTCGAGACCATATTACATTTTCGTAGGTTTTAATTTAGTATATATCATGATCTTTATGATCAACAGTAATCCGAACATCTTTTGATAGTTAAAACTTCCTTTCTTTCATTTATTTTTTTAAAAAAATTCAACTGGAAACTTTGAAATTTTGAAACTATGGGATTTGGTTCCTCTCACCATATTCTATCTCAAAACATATCTCCATACCCAATCTTATTCATTCATTTAATTATTGTTTTGGTTTAATGGTGTGAGATTACTAGTTATGATATTAAATACTTATTTATCATAATTTAACAAATTTTGGTATTTCTTTTGCCCAAATATGATCTTTCTATCCTTTCTGCAACTCATATATGTTTGCTTCTTCCTTTGGGTTTTTCTATTTTATTATTATTATTTTTTTTCTCTTTTCCTTCTTCAACTCATCCATCCTCCAGCACGTCTCGTCTCTTATCTTTCTCCCACGCGATTTTTTGTTTTCTTCTTTTGGATCAGCTTGATTTGGTTCTTCTTTCCCTGTTTATAAATTATCTGCACAATATAAAAAATATGAAAAGATTTTGTAGCAAAAATATTTCTTATACTATAATTAAGTGATGAGAAGAAAATTGTAATGACCAGAAAAAAAAATAATACTAATAATAAAAATAAAATTAATTAATTAAATTATTAAAAGGTGTTTAAACTTTATTTTTATTATTTTTAGAGCAAATATATCAAGAGAAAATTGTGGCTTAGTAAACTTTATGCCAACTACATTATTGATAGGTCCTAAATTTGAATTTTCATGAGGCCAAGAGTGGGATTTTACCTTTTACCTTTAGCTTAAGATAAAATTACTAAGATGCCCTTCTGTCAAATTAATAAATAAAAAAGAGAAAAGGATAAAGGGTAGAGCGCACGTTTCTTCTTTCATTTTGGGGATCTGATTCAAGAAATATCAAAGAGAGAGAGAGAGAGAGAGAGAGAGAGAGAGTAGAGGAAAGAGAAATGAGATCCAAAACCTTCAGCTTCTTCTCTCTTTCGGTTCCAGCATGCTCTGTATTTTAGGAGAGAGCTAAAAAAAATTTCGATCCAGAAGCTTCAAACCTTTAGGCCTACAATTTTTGTCCATCATCTCCATCCATACTCTCCATCTTCCTTCCGTTGCCGTTCAACTCATTAGTGTGATTGAGAGTGTCTAACATGGTTCTGTGCGTCTCCCCTGTTCTAGCTGCTGTGGTGGCTCGAAGTCCCTTCCTCCTTTTATCACCGGTGTTGTCTGCGTGGGAAGTAAGTTGCTGGAAAGGTGGTGCACGGAGGAGGGTCTAGTAATTACTGAATGAAGTTGCTGCTGGTCTGTTAGAGCATGATTAGCTTACGATTTGTTAATAGGCATATGTGTATAGAATATCCTATTGTAATATGTGGCAATCTGTTATTATTGCTTATTCTTTCTGTTGTAACGGTCTGGCAAGCATTGTACTATTTATTGCTCAATACAGAATACGCATGGGCATCTTGCCTTTTGGCTTCATTCACTCATTTGTCCTATTCTCAATCTTGGTATCAGAGCAAGAGGATTACTCTCCTGTTCCTCAATGGCCGCCTCTACTAGTGCTCTCATCTCCTCTACTAGTACTCCTCCTATTATTGTTAACACTGGCTCTAAGGTCAATCCGCTATTCTCATCCTCTCAGTCGTCGTCCTCTATCAAGTTGGATAGGGGGAATTTTCTTATCTGGGAATCGATTGTTCTTCCTCTTATTGAGGGAAACAATCTTGAATCTCACATTAATGGTACAGCTCAAATACCTCCTCGCATGGTCGTTGATGGTGCCACGACCAAACCTAATCCAGCTTTTGTTGAATGGTCATCTGTTGATCGTCTTCTTGTCGGATGGCTTTGAAATACTATGGGTGTGGATGTTGCCTCACAACTTCTTCATTGTCATACAGCTCAAGAGTTATGGGATGGTGCTCGTTCTTTGTCTAATGCTGCAACTAAAGCACGTGTGGTGGTCTACAAAGCTGAGTTACATTACACTCGGAAGAATGGTCTTTCAATGGCTGATTATTTGTGTAAGATGAAGAATATTACTGACCATCTTGCTTTATCTGGTTCTCCTGTTCCTACAGAGGATTTGATCATTCATACTCTCAACAGACTTGATGCAAAATACAATGCTATTGTTGTTAAATTGGTTAATGCTCCAAACTTATCCTGGATTGATGCTCAGGCAGCTCTTCTAGCCTTTGAGAGTCTCATAGAGCAACCTAATCATTTTGCGTCTGTCTCTCTTCAACCTACTGTAAATGTTGCTCAACGTGAAGATAATCGTTCCCCTGCTTGGCGTGGTTCTCGATCAAACAGAGGCTTTTGTTCAAGGGGACGGTTACCACGAGGAGGGAATCATCCTTATTGTGATCTTTGTCGTCATCATGGTCACACGGTTGCTAACTATTATCATAGATTTGATCTTTCTTTCTAGCCACCATCTCATAGGTTCACACCTCAGGCACCTCAAGCTTACTATGCTTCACCTTCCACCGTTAATGACTCTGCATGGTATTTAGATAGTGGAGTAAATTATCATGTTACTTCAAATCCTGCTCAGCTTGATCGAGTCACTCCTGTAGGTAATACTCATTTACTTACCTGTACTGGTGAATGCACAAGGATTAGTGGCTCAGGATCTATGTCCTTACCCTGTTCTAATTCTACTCTACAGCTGAATGATGTTCTCTTTGTTCCTTCTGCAAAGAAAAATCTAATGAGTCTTTATCGTCTTGTTGATTATAACTGTATTACTATTGAGTTTTCTGACCAAGGTTGTATTGTGAAGGACAAGGTAACCAAGCAAGTGCTGATGCAGGGAACACCACAGTAGGGAATGTACCCACTAGCAAGTGAATCGATGCAGGCACAACCTCATCATGTTTATCTACCTGAAGTCAATTTTTCAGCATATCTTGATTGGCATTACAAACTTAGACATCCTAGTGATAGGATCTTAAAGCAAATTCTAAATAAATGTAATGTTAAAGTTAGTGTTGATGATAAACATGTTTGTGAAGCATGTCAATGTGGTAAATTAAAAATGTTGCCATTTTCTTTATCCTCATCTCATGCTTCAACTCCGCTTGAACTTGTTCATACTGACTTATGGGATCCTTCACCAGTGCAATCTGTTCATAGGCACAGAATTTATATTAATTTTGTGGATGATTATAGTAGATATACTTAGATTTATCCTTTAAAACATAAAGTCGAGGCAGTTAATGCATTCAATCACTTTCGTGCTTTAGTTGAAAATTAACTTGGAACTAAAATAAAGAATATGCAGTGTGATGGTGGTGCAAAGTATAAGCCTTTTATTCCTATAGCAAACACTCAAGGCATTAACATGCAATTTACGTGTCCATATACTTCCCAACAAATGGCCGTGCTGAAAGGAAGCATCGTCATTTGGTAGAAATGGGTTTGACACTGCTAGCACAGGCTCACATGCCTTTAACATACTAGGTAGAAGCGTTTCAAGCTTCAGTTTACTTAATTAATCGACTGCCAACTCCTGTACTCAAAGATGTCTCTCCCCTGTTTCAACTCTTCAAAATAGAGCCAACTTATAGTTCACTTAAACCTTTTGAGTGTGCTTGTTATCCTTGTCTAAAGCCTTATAATGAGCATAAATTCCAATTTCACAGTCAAAAGTGTGTGTTTATTGGATATGCTTCTCAACAAAAAGGATACAAATGCCTTAGCTCAACTGGACACATTTATGTCTCTTGGCATGTTATTTTTTATGCTTCTGTGTTTCCTTTTGCTACAGGATTTTTGAATAAAAGGTCTACTTCTCACAATGAAGCTTCTATTCCCTTGATAATCACTTCTTCAGATTTTCAATCACAAGTTTTTAGTGAAATTTTACCTTCATCCACTGACAGTATTCCAGTCTCAGCCATAGATTCATTGTCTTCTTTGTCAGACAAGGTCTCAAATGATCTAGTCCAATCGGATTCACCAGGCCCAAGACTTTCTTTAATGCCAAATCATTCAGATACTCTAGCCCAAGAAGTTGAAGGTTCGATCAACTGTAATGAAAGTCCAAATCTTATTTCCTCAGCTATTTCTTCTATAGACCAGACCAACGTACACCCTATGGTTACACGGGCTAAGAATGGAATTTTTGGGCCCAAATATCCTTTTATGGGCTTGTTACATTCTGAAGATTCCATTTCCTTATCTGATGTTGCAGAATCGAGCTCTGCACGAGAAGCACTTCAGTCGGTGTCTTGGTGACGAGCAATGTCAGATGAGTTTGAGGTACTTCAACGCAATAATACCTGGAGCTTAGTTCCCTATGATGGATCTCAGAAGGTTGTAGATTGTCGGTGGGTGTTCAAGACTAAGTTTAATGATGATGGGTCCTTACAGTGTCAGAAAGCACATCTTGTAGCTAAAAGTTTTCAATAAGCACCAAGAATAAATTATAACGAAACATTCAGTCCAGTGGTTAAGGCAACTACAATTAGACTTGTGCTTACAATTGCTGTTATGTTCAATTAGGAGATTCGACAGCTGGATGTTAACAACGCATTCCTAAATGGTTTTCTTCAAGAAGATGTTTATATGCGACAGCCGGAAGGAATTGTAGATCCTAAATGCCCAACTCATGTCTGTAAGTTGTTTAAAGCTTTATATGGCTTAAAACAAGCACCTCGTGCTTGGTTTGAAAGGCTGCGCTCAATACTGCTTCAGTGGGGTTTTACATATGCTAAGAGTGATACTTCTCTGTTTCTTCTTCGCTCTGCACGATTGACTGTCTTTATTTTAATATATGTGGATGATATTATGATTACAAGTAACAATTCAGCCTATTTAAAGAATTTTGTGCACCAATTGAATTGTTTATTTTCCCTCAAGGATCTAGGATCAATTTACTATTTTCTGGGCTTAGAAATTTTTCATGACAGTTCTGGAATTTTTTGAATCAGGGAAAATATGTTCTTGATTTGTTGAAAAGATTTAACATGTTAGATTGTGCTCCTGTTCCCACACCTATGGTAATAGGGCGACAATTATCTGCAAATGATGGAGAGTTGATGAAAAATCCATTCTTATATAGACAAGCAATAGGTGCATTATAGTATCTTACTACTACTAGACCAGATATAGCCTATGCAGTTAACAAACTCAGTCAGTTCATGTCTAATCCCACTGTGATTCACTATCAGGAAGTCAAACGAGTGCTTAGATATATCAAAGGGACTTATAATTTCAGTTTACATTTAAAACCTGTAGCTGCTATCAGGATCATGGCATTTACTGATGCTGATTGGGCTACTGATGTTGATGATAGAAAGTCTATGGCTGGTTATTGTATTTATCTTGGTGGATCTCTAGTGTCTTGGGCTTCTAGAAAGCAACGTGTAGTCTCTAGATCAAGTGCAGAATCAGAGTATAGAGCACTTACTGATGGTGCAGCAGAGATACGTTGGATTTGTTCTCTTATGTTTGAAATTGGTTTTATTCCTCGTAGTCCACCTATCATTTGGTGTGATAATGTCAGTGCTAGTGCACTTGCAGCCAATTCAGTTCATCATGCCCGAAGTAAGCATATTGAAATTGATGTGCACTTTGTTCGAGATCAAGTGTTAGCTGGTCAACTTGATATCAGATATATTCCTTCTTCCAATCAAATTGCTGATAGCCTCACTAAAGCTTTGTCTTACTCTCAGTTTTCTATTTTAAGAAGCAAACTCGGGATAGTTGTTACTCCCTCTCGTTTAAGGGGGAATGTTAGAGCATGATTAGCTTACGATTTGTTAATAGGCATATGTGTATAGAATATCCTATTGTAATACGTGGTAGTTTGTTATTATTGCTTATTCTTTCTGTTGTAACAGTCTAGCAAGCATTTTACTATTTATTGCTCAATACAGAATACGCCTGGGCATCTTGGCTTTTGGCTTCATTCACTCATTTGTCCTATTCTCAATCTTGGTCTGTTTGTTCTTTTCTCTGTTGCTACAATAACTGGACGCCCTCCTCCCCCTGTTCAGCTTTGTAATGTCATCAGCATGGGTTTTCTAGAGAATGTTGTCCGTCGCTACTGTCATGAATTTCTCCTTTTCCTTTCTCCGCCATCATTCATTTCAAGCCTCATATATGCATTTGATTTCGGTGTGGTCAGACCTTCTTCCTTCTTCTCCATTCTTTCTGTTCATAGGCAGCAAGCACACAAAAAAAAGCTAGTCTGGTATTTTTGGAGGCCCGATTTATGAGTTTGGAAGCTGGTCTATTGCTATCTTCTCCTATGTTCCGTCGGTCTCTTTCTTCTCCTTCCCTTTTCTGCTGTTATTGATTTAGGTGAGTAGCTTAAACAGTTCTTCTTCTTATTTTGTGCGTGCGTGTGCTAAGATAATTAAGGTTGTGAATTTTATTCTTCCTCCCTTGTACTGTCATACATATTGAGTTTGAAGGGGAACTTGATTTAAGTTGAAACTATAGAGATCAAGAGGATGATGGTTTGGCTCTGAACTTTATTTGAATATGATATAATTAACAATGCTGGGAAAAAAAAATTAGGCAAGTGGTTGCGGTTAGGAAGCTTTATTAAATGAGTTAGAATTAATGCCTAGTAGGTATTTGTTGAAAGGTCTAAGAGATGATCTTATCTCCATTAAATAATTTAGCTTTGGCTTAAGTAATACTTTGTGATGTAATTGAGGATGCTTTGGAAAACTTTTAATCATTTGGATCAATCATGTTGCGGCAAGGATAGATGGAAGTTTAATAAAATTATATTGCTTATTATGAGGGGATTGGAAGAGAATTGGAAAAAAAAAGAAAAAAAAAAAGAAGAAAAAAAAAGTAGTACGTGCAAGATGTTTGCTCATATGCATATTAGAAAGAGTTGTGGTCGGATATGATTTTTTTTAGATTTCATTAACTCTTATGGGTACATATTTAGTTTGGATATTAATTGTTCATGAATTTAATTTGAATTGTATGAAGAATTTTGAGTATGAAATTGTGCGGAGACAAGTTGCATTCTATGAAATTGTATGGATAATAATTATAAATGATAATGTTTAAAAATTTGATTTGGGAATGCCTTTGAGTTGCTTGATAGAAAGGGTGATAGGAGAACTTGGAATTTAAAGTGATTAATTATGCTATATATATATATATATATATATAATATTAATATTAATTAAGTTTTGTTGCTTGCACTTGACAAGAGCTGGAAAGAGTTTATCAAACTTGATTATGCCATTGAATTTTCTTTTTATATTAGATAGGGCATTTAGCAGAAGGAAGGTTTGATTGGGTTCTAAGAAGTTAATTTTAGTACTCAAGCACACTTCAGGTAAGTGAATAGCGTCCCAACTGATATTTCATTAAAATCTCCTTTATACAAATATTACATTTTTATACAAATCCTTTTTATAGCAACAATGTGATTATTGGATATTTTGTTGATTAAAGTATTTTATTTTTGTGAAGTTATCTTTACCAGATTTGATAATATTATTTGATCAGTAAATACAAGTTTGGATTTTAATTATGGAATTTTCATTTTGGAAATTATTGAATTGCTATGAAAAACAATTCATACGAGTTCGATGTTAAAAATTTTTTATTTAATAAATGCAAGCATGAGCATCGGATATGAAATTTGATTCTGGCAAGTTTTAATGCTTAAAAGTATTCATGCCCGTTTGATTTTGAATGAGAACTGTATCTTGAAAGTGATGATTTTATCGTATGTTTGAAATGATTTTAAAAAGGGACTTTATATAGAACACTGGTTGCTAACGGCAGTTCCGTTAGCCCTTGGCGCGCCATGGTACACCTAGCTAGCAGGGTGTTTATAGGAGGTGCTAGCCCCGTGCGATGGCCAATGCACGTGGAATGGAGGGATGGTTATTCGTGAACATCGTACTCACATTTGTTTTGTAGCTTTAAGTCACGTTTGGTTAGCATTACCCTCGTGGACTGTGTGTCCACGTTTGTTTCATGGCTTCGGCTGTATTTGGTTACTTACCCTCATAGACTGTGTGTGTCCATGTTTGTCTTCGTGGCACCAGCCACGTTTGGTTATTTACCTTCATGAACTGTGTGTCCACGTTTGTTAATTATTCTGATAAATCCCTATAATTATGAAACCAATCATTTGATGATTTCATATTTTATTGATTTTTGTTTAGTAATTTATTTATAAATATTTATTTCATTTAAGTGACTTTTTAAAAATCAAGTGATATTACCATTTGCTATGATAGTTCAATGGTTCAAGATTTTATTTAAAATTTTATAGAATCATTTTATTTTGAAGTTTATACATTTTTTTTATGGAAATTGTTGTCTCTTTAATTTACATGGTTATTTCAAACTTTTCTTTTTATTCATGTTAAATTATTTATTGTTGGGACGTTATTCATTGAAAAATTTTTTTTACTTATAATTAGAGTTCTTAGTTTATTATACATTTTTCTACTCGCTGGAAGGAGCCGAGCTCTTGATTGATATAATGTTCAAGGAAAATTTTTGTGATACAGAATTTTTAGGAGATTCTATTTACAGAGGAAGTTCTGTCAAAATTTTTACAAAATGTTGAAACAATTAGTATAATGATTAGTATCTATAGTATTAAAATGTTAGTGTAAAACTGAGTACATTTTAATTAAAGGAAATAAACCTTAAATTTGTAGCTTATGGGATGTATGATGTGGTTCACATCCTGTGCCGGTCACCCCTATTTTTGGGGCGTGACAAAAATATATAAAAATTAGTTAAATAAGTATAAAATATTAATAAATACTATCAAATATAATCCAAAATGTACACCTCTCTATCTATAAAAAAATTAAAAATATGCACTTATCACATCAATTTTCATCTGAGATTCAATTGTTATTATTCCCTTTAATCGAGTTATATTTTCTTTTGGTAGACTTCAGTCATAACAAAAAAGTAATCATAGGTTTCCACATCACTTTGAACAAAGAAAGAAAATATATACATTTCTTGTACAGGAATTGACAATGAATTTTTTGTATTTACAACTATATGATGTATACACTATATTAACATTTTTTTTATTTGAAGTAGTACATTACATTTTCCACAAGAAAGCATTTTATGATTAATGCATATATAACTCCCTTCTTTTGTTTTTATCGTTTTTGGCCCCCATCATGAGAAAGCAAACAACTTTTGAAGTGGCTTTTGTGAAGGGGGTGTGCCTGCATGGTGGTGTTCCTTGAATCAAGTTGCGTTTTCTTTTTTCTTTTTCTTTTTTTAAATTCTGTCTCTGTTGTGTCTGAGCTGTTTTCTTTAGTAGCTATCTTCTTGTTTCTATCTTGTTTCCTTGCCTTTTTCAACTAACTCTTATTTTTAAGGCCGAAGGGGATGGTAATTAATTAATGAACAAGTAAGGAATTGACTCTGATTAGAGAGAGCAAAGTGCCTCACCAAAGGCAAAAGTGATTGGCTGATTATAAAAATAAAAGCTGGTATTATAAAGATACGAAGGAAAAAGATGAAACATTTTCTAATTAATTAAATTCGTTTCATACACCAACCTTGCTGTCTATTCGTTTTGACCCCACATCATTCAATAAACGCTACTAAAGTAAAGTCCTCGATTAATTTTATAAAAATATATTTTTTTTTCTTTTATCCCTAATCTTAATTACTAATGCACTCAATGATGAGTGAGAGATACATTTATACAAATATCTAAGTTAATAAATATAAAGAGTAAAATGAATTTTTTTGTTTATATGTATAAAGTTGCTAATATTTTGAACCAAGATTAATCAAGAGAAAAAACTTACATTTTGAACCCGAGAGAGTATCAGCTATTACTCATATTAACTTATTCCTAAACATAAAATATAACCACTTTATGAAATCACGCCACCACTTAATCATACCCTTTTTTTATTGTGCACGCTAACCAATCATATTTAAAAAATTAGTTTAGTCCAATAGTCCTTCATGCGTCTTTTCTCGGATCTCCTTTTCATTTCTTCTTGGTCCTCAGCTTTAAAACCCTTGTTCTTGATGAGTTGTTTTCATCTCTTCCAAATTTATTTCTTCTCTTGCTACTCTTCTGATTGCACATTGTTCCGCACTATTTTCCGCAAGAAAGGTGGATCAGGTGGAAATTCCCATGGAAGCTAATAATTCAAACTGGAAGGGACCATGCTACAGAAGATTGCAGGAACTGTTGAAGAAACGGTTCATTTCATCAGTCAATCATGTTCCAATTGGCGTTATTGATGACACCATGAGTTATCAACTATACAACGCTGTTCATGATGAGAATGAAGATGTAAGTAAATTTCTAGACGTCTTGGAGAGAGTATGTACAGGAAAACGACTTGATTGTTCCACCGTCTTACATCAAGCCACTCACACGGGTGATTCGTTGCTCCATGTTGCAGCTGAACACGGGAGAACAAGGATTGCAGAGCTGCTTATTGATAATAATTTTTTGCTGATTGTGACAAACGCAAGAAAAGACACAGCGCTTCATGTTGCTGCAAGAGCCAAGAATATTGAAGTGATGAGAGTCATCTTATCCAAATTTGACGATGCAAGCAGTAAGGATAACTTTATTTTGTTACCCAATAAGTCTGGGAATAGAGCTCTGCACGAAGCTATTCTGAGCAAACATCATGAGGGGTTTGAGTTCCTTCTAAGTGAGCAAAGTGAAAGTACTTGGCCACTCTATTGGGATACCCATCCAGTAGACTCACCAACATATGTGGCAGTCCAAACTGGGGATGTTGAAATTCTTCGTTGTCTCTTGCAGATTCCGTTTCCTTCAGACCGGGACATTTACAAGAGTCAGGGAAATTCTCCACTTTTTGCCGCCATAATAGAACGCAATATTGGTATGTATATGTGTAAGATGCCAAATTAATTGATCAATGTGTTGTTTTTTCTGGTTGTCATGAAATTTTTTTTTTATATTAAGTATGTTTGAAGATTTTCTTCTCCACCTAAATAGTTTAAACCTTGGCTAGACATATTCCAAATTTTATATATTTATAATTAATTTTAGAATTACTAAGATATGAGATTTCTTTCTTTAATACTCAGTCATCTATTTTGTATGGGCTTGTACTTTTTTGAGCGTTTTGGGGTCTCATGTTCACCATTTTTTAATTTCTTCTCTCTCTTTTTATTCTCTTGCTTTTCTTTCATTGTTCGTTTTCTTTTTCTTTTTCTTTTTGGCTTGTTTTTCCTCTTGGTTTTTTTTTCTTTTTTCTTTTTCTTCGTGTCCAAAGTCAAATGGCTTTAATATAGTGGGTCCCAATTTAAAATTTCAATTAAGTCTAAAAGAATTGAAATGGAAATAATTTTAACAATGAAAAAATCAAAGTACCCTTAATTTGTTATGCAAAATTATTAATTATTAATTTCCATACTTCGCTTATTAATTTATTAATATGAGTTATAAATTACATCATTTGTCATATAAGTAGTAAACATTAATTGCCAATTTGCTAATTTTACTTATTAATTTACTAACATTAATTGTAAATTATTAAAATTAATAAGTAAAGTTAGCACTTTAATAACTAATGTTGCTGCTTGTAATCGAACAACTGATGTCAAGTTTTGTATAAGTATTGACATGTCAATTCATGTAATTTATAACTCATATTAATAAATTAATAAATAAAGTAAAAAAATTAATAACTAATTATTCTACATAATAAGTGAAGGATACTTTGTTCTTTTCACAATTGAAATTATTTTTGCTTCAGTCCCCCTAGACTAAATTAAAGTTTCATATTTTTTTTGGGATTCAAATAGTAATTAATTAAGTCACATTTCTGATCCTTAATTGAAATTCTCTCAATGCTTTATGTCAAGTATATATATTGTTTGATAATTATTCACTTCACCAGAGTAGTTTAAACCACTTGGTTAAACATATTTCAAGTTTTATATATTTCTGGTCTACTCTCTAATTACTAGATGTGTCTGTTTTTTTTTTTTTTAATATAACCCACTTTCAATTATATGTGAAATATGTCTGCTTTTATGTATTGTAGATTTTTGAAGGAGATAGTAAACAACAAAGAAGAGTTGATGTTCCTGACAGATGAAAATGAAAACACACCCTTTCATTTTGCAACATTCATTGGTTACGTGGAAGGTGTTCGTCAACTTTTGAACAAATCCACCCTTGTCGCCTTTCAACGAAACCAACGAAGTAATCTTCCAATTCATTTTGCTTGCGCTATGGGCCATGTTCGGGTGGTTGAAGAATTGCTACGCGTACAAGGGCCTTGTACCAGTTTCTGGCTCAATAAGAAAGGTCAAAACATTCTTCATGTTTCTGCAATGTGCGGTCAAAACAAGATGGTAAAATACCTATTGAAACACCCAAAGATCCATTCCAAAACTATCAATGAGAAAGATCTAAATGGAGACACCCCACTGCATCTGGCTTCAAAATATTTGCATGTTTGGACTCTATTCCATCTATCACAAGACAAGAGAATAAATGTGAACCTTGTAAATGACCAAGGTTTGACAGCTAGAGATATTGTCCGAAGGCAGAGTAAATTTCCAAGGACTCGTATAGAGGTATGTTGAAGCATCTATATATCTAATATGGTTTTTTAATAATCTCTTTCTTTTTCTAACAGGTTTCATTTTAGACAAATTGCAGTCTTGTAAAAGAATATAGCATGTAAATATCTACTTTAATTTGATTACCTTACAGTTTGTAGCATCCAAGATTTTAAAATTTGCTGGTGGCTCGCTTAAACAAATTAAGCGGGGACCAAAACCTGTGGCCAATAAAGAATGGAATGTGAACGATGGGGCCAACACACTCATAATTGTGGCCGTACTGGTAGCTACGGTGACGTTTGCAGCTGGTTTCACAGTACCAGGTGGAGTACACAGTTCGGATGACTCAGTCCCTAAAGAAAGAGGCATGGCGGTGTTGACAGATCAAACCCTGTTCAAAATATTTATGACTTTCAACACCATTGCTATGTATTGCTCCACTTTCGGTTCTATTATTCTTCTTTGGAGGCATCTGGGTGATCGTCGACTTTCAATACGAGCGTATCGTATCTCTAAAATTTTTGTCCAACTGGCTCTTGGAACCATGCCAGTGGCATTTATGGCCGCCATACGTTTGACTGTCAGTAATAATAGCTTGCTTGCAGATCTTACAAGTATCATTGCGTTCATCTTCATTTCCCTTATACTACTACTTCGCATTTTAGCATGTTTTCCTTTTGGAATGCACCTTCCAGTTTTCTATCAAGTTAGAAAACTTCTTCTTTGGATTATTATTACTTTATTATGTGGGACTAAGGATGGTAGAGTTTATGATGTTGATGAAATCCAACAAGACGATGAAGCCGGTAGGGCCAACACAGTCAACGCCACGCAAGGGAAGAACCGTGTCACATAGCGTCCCTTGTGCCGATGATCACCCTGGTATTATTGTAGAACCCAGTCGATGGCTTTCTCAGTAATTAGGTAATTAAAGTTTTGGTCAACTCTTCAGTTCATTTTGTTTTGGATACATTCTTCAATATAAGAAGGCATTGCAAATTAAAAATGTTCTTTGGTCAGAACATCAGCACAGCAAGTTTGAAGAGAGAGTTGAGCTCACAATCAAGTATCTAGTCCAATTATTGTGAATAATAGTAAACTTTTTTATTAACAGTTGAAGTTAAAATATTTAGGACATTTCGTTTTATCATTTATCGTTTTTAATTATTTAGATACACTTTCTTGTGTAATTTTGTAGAATATCTATTATTCTTATTGTGCATGACTTTTGAATAATGTGACTTTTTAATTGAATTATTTTTAAAAATTTTGGTTATTTGGTTGCCTTGACAAAATCTCACTTTTGAAAATTCACTCAATCTAACTAGATTAGATTCAAGTATTTTCGGGCTCAATTGGAGATAGCTTTTCGAAAGGCGTTTTCTACATTTGCACAAAAGTCTAACAAAAGCATTTTATAAGCTAACAAGGTTGGTCCAATTCTTAATGAGTTGACTGATGCCTCACAAGAATGTGAGTTCAAATATTACTACTAATTTAAGAACTTTGTTAGTGGATCGTGAGTGTTCTTGAAATTTCAAATACCTCGATCCTGATCAACCTCTAAATCCAGTTTAGCTAAATTTAAGGACTTTTTATCTTGGTCAAAATGATATCTTTATGATCGCTAGTGGAGGGTTGTATACGATACTACGAGAACCCAGTAGCATGTCTGGTATTTACTCCAGTTAAAAGACAAATTCACATTAGATTATTTTTTATAGGATCACATGACATTATTATTTGTCCACTATGCTCGCCAAAATGTAATCCAAGCTGTTATATCAGACATATTCCTTGATGTTGTTATATTGCATCAGTCACACAAAATAAAAATTATACTGAATCTGAAATGAATTATGTTGCATTGTTTAATATAGCTTATAAATATTATAATTTGTTTTTTATCTTAATCTTGATGAAATGATGAATAAGAAAAGAAATACAAGCCATAAAAAAAGTGGAAAAAAAAATTCACATGCGAAGTGATCTTGCTGTACTCATGAATTATCAATAAGGGCTTAAACAGAATTTTCCTCCGTGGCCCAAGTCCAAGGATTTATGGGTAGTTGAAATCATCGAACAGATCTAGATTGATATTAATTTTTAATATTTATACTGTTTTTCTTTTTTGAGTTGCAATATAACTTGTTAGAGACGTTATATAATCAATAAGGTCAATTATACTTGGGTCTTCCAGCTGATTGTTTGGTGGGATGAACGTGAGTACCTTATTTGGGAATCATTTGATCAATTGTTACATGATTATCTTGCCTTTTTAAAAAAAAAAATTATGCACATGTGTTCTTCTATTGAGAAGTATAGTGGCTTGCCGGCCATTGATTATGAATACTTCTTTTAATGAAAATTTAAAATTATCATGTTTTTAACCAAGTGGATAAGGTCACTTTTCAGGGGATGAAACGGCCCAATTCATATCATGGGCCTTATCACATATTATTGGGCCAGCCACAACAATGTGTCCAGTATGAGGAATTTTAATTTTCTTGCTTTTAAATCTTAATAATGATGGAATTTTATCATTTGGGAAAATATAATAGTTTAAGAGCTAAATATTAATTAAATTAACAGAATTCATTCATATTAATTTTAATAACTTTAATTTTGGAAAAAATACCTCTATTATAATATTTATATGGAAAGTTTAGGCTTTCTTGAACTAAGCGTTGGTGATAGATTTAGAAATCAATTTTATATGATGCATGTTAAATTTGTCCTTAAATTTTTACCTGATAACTTCCAATACTTTATTAATTTTATTTGTGTTTTTAATTCAATTAGAAGTTATCTAATTGATTAACTCTTAGCAAAAACTTGATTAAATTGCTCATTAATTGTGAGGAAGGACGTTGATAGGTTTCGTGGTGGCCTTGAAAAGCTAATGGATCAAAATATGACATTAAAACTGGGTAAAATTTCGTGGTTGTCTTGATAGGTTTCTGAAATTTCATTTTGGCCTAAAATCTTTGCAAAAATTACACTTTAACCCTTAATTTTATGAAAATTCCATTCTAACCTCGTATTTTCTCAAAATTATAATTTTGCCTTAGGCTTCCTAAAATTTCCCTTTTCACCCCTATGCTCTCAAAAATTACATTCACACTACTATACTCTTCTTGCCTAAGTCCTAACCTTGCAAAAAAAAAAAAGCCTTAAAATGCCTCCAAGAAGCATGAATGTGTAAAAGGTTGAGATGGACAAGATGAGATATAGGATATTAGAGTTAGAGGCTACCACAGAAATGCAGTGAGTTTTGTTAGAAACTCACAAAGAAAACTTGAGAGGAGATTTAGGTAGCAGCAATTTGTCACCCATTAACAACTATCATTGTCCTTGACAATAGTCATTCCATTCTAGTGACATTAAGGTAGACATCCCTAGATTTAAGGGAAGACACCAGCTAGACACATTTATAGATTGGCTTCAAAATGTGGAGTGCATATCTGAATATAAAGAGATTCCAGATGAGCATAAAGTCAAGATTATTGCCCTCAAACTCAAGAAACATACCTCCACATTATAGGAAAACCTTAGGCAAAAATGAGAATGAGAGCAAAAGCGCAACATTGAAATCTGGGAGAAAATGAGATGCTAGCTTATCGAGAAACTCTTACCAAACATTACCACCAAGATAACTTTATCTAACTACAAAATCTTCGATAAAGATCCTTGTTTGTGAAAGAGTATGCCAAAGAGTTTGAAACTTATGATGAAGTGTGACATCCAGGAGAAACAAGAGCAAACAATAGCCTAAAACCTTGCAAGCTTAAACACTAACATTAGTTGTCTAGTCTAGCTTTAGCAATATTGGATCTTAGATAATGTAACCCATCTAGCCATCCGTGTTGGTCCTTATTTATGGAAGAGTATACCAAAGAGTTTGAAGCTTATGATGAATTGTGACATCTAGGAGAAGGAGGAGCAGATGATAGTCTGATACCTTGTAAGTTTAAATACTAACATCAATCATTTAGTCCAGCTTTAGTAGCATTAGACCTTGGATGATGTAATCCATTTAGCCATTTGTGTTGAGAAGCAGACACCTAAGAGATCCTCTTTTCAGCCTTCTTCCTCTAAGGGTTATTTAAATGCCCGCAAGGTAAAGTTTTAGCAGGCCAGCCTCTTAGGCAAGTTGTCACCCAGCACTATGCTCAAGCCTTCACCAAATGTTGCTAGGAAATTTGGCTCTAAAGTCTAATTACTTTAAATGTCAAGTATTCAACCATATCATTTTGGATTATCCTACTCGAAGGGTTGTCATCATTAGGGAAGGGCAAGTTTATAAAGCACCTAAAGAAGATGAGGAGGAGACTGCATCTTATGAAATTGAGCCAATATATGATGAAGAGGTTAGGTTATAAGCATTCGTGATTGGACAAAGTCTACATACAATTGTAATTAAGGAAGAACCTTGGCTAGAAGGCAACATTTTTCACACTCATTTCACGATCGAAGGAAAAGTTTGTAATATTATCAATAATAATGAAAGATATGAAAATGTAGTGTCTGACTATATGGTGGAGAAATTGAAGCTACTAATGCACAACCATCTACATCCTTACAAGCTTCACTAGCTTAATAAGGAAAGTAAGGTAAAAGCTTTTAAACAATGCATTGTTACTTTCTCTATTGGAAATAGTTATTGTGATGAAATTTTATGTGATATTATTCCCATGGATGCTGCCACTTTCTTTTGCGGATATCATGGCAATATGATCAACATGCTATGCATGATGAGCATGTAAACACCTATTCTTTCATGAAATACAGAGTCAAGATCACATTAGCATCTCTAGCACCCAATGAGATCAACCAATCCTCGAAGGAATCTAAGCCATTAGTGACTTTGATGACTAAGGAGGAGTTCAAGGTGACAAAGTCTAAAGCCTAAATAATGAGTTTCATTTTAGTACTCGAGGCAAATGATGGAACTATCAACCCTCTTGGAGTTATGCCATTATTGTCTAAATTTTAAAATGTGACACTTGATGAGATACCACCAAGGTTGCCACCTATGCGAGACATATAGCATGCTATTGACTTCCAAGAGTAATCATTCCTAACAAACTTACTTATAGGATGAGTTCCCGGGAACATGCCTAAGTCCAACGATAAGTTAAAGAGCTTTTGAAAAAAGGGTTAGTTCGAGAAAGTGTTAGCCCATGCATTATACCCATTCTTCTAGTACTTGAGAAGAATGAGAGTTGGAGAATGTGCATTGATTATCGTGCTGTCAACAAGATCACTACCAAGTATCGGTTCCCAATACCCCAGTTTGATGACATGTTAGATCAACTACATGGTGCCACTACCTTTTCTAAAAGTGACCTTCATAGTAGACACCAATAAATCAGAACTCGACCAGAAGATGAGTGGAAGATTGCTTTCAAGACAAGAGATGGCTTATATGAGAGGAATATGATGCCTTTTGGGTAGACAAATGCCCTTAGCACGTTCATGCACCTGATGAATTAGGTATTAAGACCTTTTATTGGCAAAGTTGTTATTTACTTTGATAACATTCTTATTTACAGTAAGAGTCAGGAAGAATACTTATATCACTTACAGCAAGTCTTGCAAGCCCTGTGAGAACAGAAGCTTTACCCCAATCTAAAGAAGTACACCCTCCTTACTAATAAAGTTGTGTTTTTGGGTTACATCATCACCATAAAAGGTCTTCGAGTTGATCCAAGCAAAGTTGAAGCCATTAACAATTAGCCAATTCCAAGATCTACTCAAGAAGATCAAAGCCTCCATGAATTAGTTTCTTTCTACATGAGGTTCATCCATAATTTCAGTATAAATTCAATTGTGTTTTTGTAATAGAAATATTTGTAAAATTAAGACTTAAGAGATGTGTGATATGGTTTATATCCTGTGCCAGTCATCCTTTATTTTTGGGATGTGGCAATGTCACTCTCTCAAAAATATTTGAGAGAAAAAAGACATATTTATCTCAAAAATATCTTAGAAGAATCTTCTCTCACATATTGTCAAGAGAAACCTATAACTTTCTCTCAAAACACTTTTTTCTCAAATATTTTTATTTTTCTCTCAAAATTTTTTGAGAGAAATTATATAATGTTACTA